TGAGATAAAAATTTTTAAAAATCTTTACGTTTTAAACAAAGAAAGTGAATATTTTAGAAATGAATATTTCATTTTAATAAATATTTTATGGAAGATTTAAATTATTATTGTTAGATTTTTTAAGTGATTCAATAAATAAAAAACAAAGAAGAAAAAAACACAATTGTTTTATCACTTCTTGCAATGACTTGCCATATTAAACAATGATGTAGGTCATGGGCACTACACAAAAATAACTCTTATTTTTGAAAACAAAATATAACTCACACTGGCCAGCCTGATATTTTTTAAAAACCAAAATATAAAATCCATTTTGCATGAAGGTAGTTATTTTTGTAATTTCATACAAAATGCATTAAAGGCAGTTATTAAATATTACCCCGAAGTTAAATTTAAGGCTTTGAATATTTGTAAGACACTGAATTTGTTTGTAAAATTAAATTGCTTATAAAGTAACTTAACATAATATCTTATCGCTACATACATGATATAGGTTTATCGCCAATAGAGATACAAAATATTTTATCCCAAAATAAACATGCATAAATGGAAACGAAGGAAAATATTCTATCACAAAATAAACTTGCGTAAATTAAAACAAAGGAAAACCTTCTATCGCTAAATGAACATGCGTGATTCGAGCATGCGTATAAACAAAGAAAATTCCATTTGTCATCTCCTTGTGTTTTGGTGGCATTTTGCTTATATGAATCATAAGCCACCTAAATAGCCACCACTGCACTTGTGAACAGATTTCTTATCCTAATCTAAATATTGTAATAAAATAAAAAAAAATAACTAAATAGTAAAGGCCGCAGAGTTTTCTTAAGATAAGAATTTTTGAGAAAATTTATTGAAATTTTAACAGCAATTGAATTCACAAATTTCTGTCATTAGTTGTGCGGAAACGTGTTTGTGCTCTCGCTTAAAACAAGAGAAATAGAGATTTATATAGTAGAACATATATGTATAAGAGTAATTATTCTGTTCTATACGAAAATGAAGTGAATGCATTTGAATCAAACATGTTGACTTGCCGAAGTGGCTAGTTGTGCGCTTAAGTTTGCAGCTCACATCACCGTACATTTCTATTGGGGAGGGATAAAGCCTTTTGTGACAATAGAATTAAAAATGTTTCGCAGTAGTACTATTGCTTCATTTGGTAACTCCTTTAATATTTTTGAAGTAATTAGGTTATAGCCGGGTGCTTTATTTATTTTTAGTTTTTTGATTTCGAATTTTATGTCGAAAATGAATAATTTTTGTATTGGAAGGTCCAGTTGGTGCGTTTGCTGTAATACCTCTCTAATCTCTTCAGTTATACTATTTGGGGCTTCATTAATGTTTGTAATAAAAACTGAAGACAGATGGTCCGTAAATACTTTGCATTTTTCTGTATCTGTTCGGGCCCATTGCCCAAGTTCGTTTTTTACTGGTGCATTGTGCTTTGATGTCTGTTTCTTGATTGGTCGCCAGAGAGAGTAGTTGGTGGAAGTAGTTGCGTCTAGTCTTTGGAGATTCTTTGTATTTCCAAATTTCTGGTTGTTTTCAGATGTTCTTTTAGATTTTTGATCAGCACATTAAAAAGTTTTTTATCTTTTGGAGATTTGGTTTGTTGCCAGCGCCTTCTCGCTGCTCTTTTGGCTCTTATAAGTTCTTGAGTCGTACTACATAATGGTGTGGCGAATTGTTGCATGTTTGAAGGCGTGGATCTCCAGGCTGATTGTTGAATACTCCTTATAAGATGTTCGGTTGCAAGCGCAATTTCTTCAAAATGGTCTTAATATCCTAAACAATTGGACACAAAAACGTGGCCTTGGGGTGAATCCCAATAAAACTGAAATCGTAGTTTTCACAAGAAAACATACGGTCCCGAATCTTTCTCCACCCTCTCTACGAGGTTCTGTGATACATGTGAAGGAGGAAACCAAATTTTTAGGTATAGTTTTCGACAGGAAACTCACTTGGAAGAAAAACACTCTAGAGCGTGCAAGAAAAGCCAATGTTGCGCTTCTTCTATGTCAGAAAGCTATTGGTAAGAAGTGGGGTCTTCAACCTCGCATCACCCAATGGCTATATATAGCTGTTATTAGGCCCATATTGATGTATGGTATTACGGTATGGTGGACAGCTCTTGATAAATCTTCGTACTGCTCAGTACTTAACAGGATTCAGCGTAGAGCTGAACTCTGTATTAGCGGGGCGCTATGCACCACACCATCCATTGCACTAGATTTGATGCTTCAGTTACTGCCAATGGATATTATTAGTAAACAAATGGCAGCTTCATCTGCTTTAAGACTAAAAGCTACCTCACAATGTAGAGACAGTGACTATGGTCATGCCTCCATTCTAAATCTTTTCAATTTTACTCCTAAAAACGTTGATTACATCACACCCACTCTCAACTTTGACAGGAAATTTGATGTCGTGTTTCCATCTAGAGAGGTATGGACGTCAGGTGGCCCCTTCTTAGATGAGGGCGTAACCATCTTCACTGACGGATCCAAAACAAGTAGTGGTGTAGGTAGTAGAGTTTTCTCAGAGGAATTGAACAAATCTTCCTTCTTTAGGCTTCCAGATCATTGTAGTGTCTTTCAGGCGGAAGTGGTCGCCATCAGGGAAGCTATAGCTTGTTTGAATGTAGATGATATATTTGGCAGGAATATATACATACTATCAGACAGTCAAGCTGCATTAAAGTCCTTGAGTTCGGTCCAATTTACATCTAGGACGGTTCTTGACTGCTACACATTTCTAAACGAAATGTCGACGCAGCTCAATATTTCTCTAATCTGGGTTCCCGGCCATAGGGATATTTTCGGAAATTGCAAAGCAGACGAGTTAGCCAGAAAGGGTGCTTCAGAACCATACTCGGAGCACCTAGACTATCTGGGCATATCGCTAACATCATGTAAACTGATATTGAGTTCTTTCTGCGCTAATACTTTTAATAAAAGATGGGAAGACTCAACGATATGTAGACATCTGTATGCAATCTGGCCACTTTCCGATGAAAGGAAATCGAAAACTCTCATTGAGATGTCCCGCAAGGACATTAGTCTTCTGGTAGGGTTGATTACAGGGCACTGTAAGCTAGGGAACCATGCTAGAAGACTAGGTCTTCCTTTCAACCAAATCTGTCGTAGCTGTGGGGAGGACGATGAGAGCGCATCTCATCTGTTGTGTTTTTGTCCAGCTCTTGCACGTCGGCGATTTAGTACTCTAGGGGCCCCCTTCCTTGAGGACCTGGACCAGTTACAGGATCGGGCTTTAAATAGCATTTTATGCTTCGCAAAAGGTTCTAGGTGGTTTTAAACCCTGAGGATTCTTTTACTTTCTTTTAGTATTTATATACGGCATCACAATGGGCCAATAGGCCTAAGTGGATCCACTAGGGATCACCGGTATAACCTAACCTAACCTAAGCGCAATTTCTTCGTTTGTTTTAAGCGCCATTTTTTCATCAAGTAATGCCTTAAGTGTATGCCTGAAGGCATCCCAGTTGGTTAATTTGTTGTGCAGATAACATTTTTGAACTTTAAGTTGTATATTCGATTTTATCCGTAATAATACTGGCGAGTGATCTGATGAAAGATCAAAGTTAGATTTACAGAACGTGTCGTTTTGTCGCACTCCTTAAGTAACACAAAAGTCTAACAAGTCTGGAATTTTTTTGTGATTCGTGGGCCAATAAGTTGGTTCTCCAGACGAGATAGTTGAAAGGTTTTCGCTTCTTATAGTCGCAAGCATCTGTCGTCCTTTGGGTGTTGAAAGCCGAGAGCCCCATTCAACGTGTTTAGCATTAAAATCTCCCCCCGCAATAAATCTGTTACCTAATGTTCTAAAGAATTTTTTATATGTTGCCGTCTTAGTTGCGTGTTTTGGTGGACAATATACTGATGTTATTGTGATTGAGCCACATACAAAACTAAATATACATATTACTACTCATTTATGTTATTATAATTATTAAATCGTATTTAAATATAAAATTAATTCCTAAAACATAAATCTAGGCATAATCTAATTACAGATAAAATTATATTATTTGCATACAAATTGTACACACATACATTGCTTACAATTTTGCATAACTTTATTCAATGCACAAAACCAACAAAAAGTAATGCATACATATTCCCTTAAAACAAAAACAAAAAGAAGATATCCATACACATTCGCTTGTAGCAAAACACAAGGAACTATCGCATAAGCGAGAACGTTGCATATAAGTTAAATATTCTTTTATTTGATCAGAAATATTGATGTTGCTTCTTCGGAACCTAAAGCAGAAGAGACCGAGCGCACTTTTGCGAAGTTGAGAGCTACCGAAACCAAACGGGACTTTTCCAGTCAAACAAGTGGGTGTCCTGTTTGGTAGCAACCATGCGTTCAAACAATATCGCATGATTCCTCCGTTAATGAAACTAAGCACAGGGCCGGATTTGGGGTACGCGTGTGTTAACTTATATTCCAAACGCATAATAGTCAAAAATGTAAAATCGACTATTAGCAAGCAATCAAAATGAAACCAGTTTGCGTTTTTTGCTGTTGCTAATGTATATTCTTATTTCATTTTCTTATGCAATGCATTAGCAATTAGTCGCTTGACAAAAATTGACTGGTCAATATTTATGCATTAGTCAAAATTTGGTTGCTTTTGTTAATTCTCAACAAGCAATTCAAACCCTGATTCAGGCAATGTCCGCACATTTGGGTTACATTGTTATCGTTTTTACCTCTGTTTCACTGTTCGCTGAATAAGTGAAAATATGAAACAGTAGCACTTAAACCAAACAGTACTGAGAATGGCATAAGTGAAGGAATGAGAAATAAATAAAATAGTTGGAATAGTGGTTGTCTACATAATATATAAAAATTCAAAGCGCGAACAATAAGCGCGTGAAGTTTTTCGCTCAAAAAATATAGTACATATTAGAAATAGTATTTTGTTTTATGTAAGACTGCGACTTCATATGCATAAAAAAATTACTTACTCTGCATTTGTTTCAGGAGTTGGCAAATCACCAATTGTTGTCAATGTTAGAGTTGACCAGTAAAGACTTCCAAGGTATTTTCTAGTTAGTGTAGCATAATCTCCTGCTCGATATGGATATACCCAATCACCCTTTAACCAATTAAAAACTTTTATTAAAAATGTTACAAGTCTAATTTAAAATAATATTCACCTGAAATCCTTCAGCTTCAGACAACAAATAATAAAAACAACCAAACCAATGCGCTAATATTAGCAAAATATGTATTAAATTAACAACGCGCCACAAGTTGGGCCATACAGTTCTGCTTTCGACAATATAATAAAATCTAACCGATCTATATGCCTACCAAAAATCATCCTTTAAAGTTTTGTTTTGATATATAAGACTTATTTTTACAAACTTTAAAGAATCGTGTAAAACGTAACAATGGCTGTACTCCAATTTGAAGCTGTATTAAGTCTAAAGGTATTAAAGCTAATATATCAAAAAAAAAATCTGTGGAATGCAGGTAGTGGCACGCAAGTTTTATATCATCATAAACCTTAAATAATTAGTAATTACTTTTAAAATTACAACACATATATTGTTTTATTATGCACCATTAACCCCTGTTCAAGGTAACCGGTCCTTAACTGGACTATTACATCGAATATAATTACAATATCAGTTAAGATGTCACACACTGCCCAAAAAGCTGGAACTGCTTTCTGAAAATTCGAGAACAATTAATTTGAATTTCATTTCTAAAATATTTCATTTACCTGCAACTCTGGAAAACTTTGTCGAACTATAAGTGTCCAAAGATTATAAAGAATACATCCAGTTAAAATCATCAACCAATAAAAATAAAAATTATCATCAGGATTCACCACGGTACTGCTTTTTTGGAGATATCTTCTGCGTTTCTTTACAATTTTCTCTACATCTCCAGATGTACTTTCAGAACCAGTATCTTCAATAGTTTCCTTTGTATACAAAAAATATATTTTTCAAATTATTGTTTTGTTATGTTATGACTAAAGTTGTTGTTATTGTGTTGTATTGTTCAAATAAATTTTATCAAAAACAACTTAAAATATTTCACAGTAATTTCTATTTGTAACAATAAATGAACGTAATTTCCCAATTAGCCCACTACTTCACAATAGTTAACTTTTATAGATTCAGATTATAGTGCTATACTACACAAGGGTATTGGTGTGTCTTACAAACTCTAGCAAAGTGTGCAAATTTCAGATCTCAAAAATTCACTACAGAAAATATGTAAACTACATAAAGTTCCGAGAAGTTTAAAGTGCGCTGAAGTGACGTTTTGTAGTTTTAAAAAATGATTCTAAAGTCTGTCAGTTCTTGCTCAGTATTGATCTTTATATGCTTTAATATATTTATATTGAGATACTAAATTAATCATAATTTGATATATTTTAATTTTATATGTTGAGAATGTATTAGGGATTCGTCTCTAATACATTCTGTCATCCATTAAAATAAGCTGTGTTATAAGCGAAATTAACAAGCAGACGATCATTGAAATAAATTGCGTCATTTTGTTTTATTTGCCTATACACTTTTATGTTGCATTGTAAAATTTTGTGGTTATACACAAATTTTATTTCCACACTTTATCTTCACAACTGGCACGTTGTTGTTGCAGAACAGCGATCGGAATTTAAGCAGTGTATTGGCGTTATGGTCACTTCTCAAAGTTCAATTGCAACAGCCAACCATAATATTTAATCATCCTCTCCACTAAGGTTGAAAGTGCTAGCACTCGCAATGTCAATGTAGCAACTTAATACAAACGTCAACAGCATAACTAAAAAGTTCAATTTTGAACAACAAGGTCGAGATTGAAAGACTGCGACTTCACACCTGCAGTATCTCTTGTTCCAACCACTTTTGTGGTATGAAAGTCGATTATAGCTGTGGAAGATGTTTAACTGTACACAGTCAATAATACAACAATAAACAGATCTATCAAACTGCCTAACGCAATCAGTAAATATGTCAACCTGTCCTATCTGAACAGTTGCAAATTGTTAACGAGCTCACAGGTAAGTCACCGAAGGAAGCAAATTGTCTTCCATTCGCTGAGAACATTGATGATATCCAGGCGAGAAGCTGATAACAATACAATATAAGTTCCCCATGATACAGGAGCAAAGTATTATGCGATAAGCAATCACCCCATGGTCGAACCTAATCCATTGTTTAAGGAAGAAATCAAGATTATTGCCAGCCCCAAGCCCGATCTCTATCCAAATCCTTACATTGGCTTAATGTCGGAAAGACTACAAACTAGCGCAATAATTATAAAAATCAACATCAATCCCGCCTATCACACAATCTCAATAGCGCGAAAAGACATTTGATTCAATCTTCCAATATATATTCTTTGTTTTTCGTTATTTAAATCATATTTTGGTTTTTACTAAAAATGCTTGCTTCTGCAAGCGCATTAATATTTGGAAATGTGATTTTAGCATTTTGACGTTGACGCAGATTTGTTTCGAGCTTTCACATCTATCACATGCTTAACGCAGCTCTTATGACTATGCCTGAATTTTTACGGTCACAATTACTTGGTGAATTCGATACTAAAGTAATGAAAAGTTTTAAATAGATTAAAGTAAGTTAAACCTTTAAAAGCGTCACATCATATAAAATGACCAATTTTTATTTACAAATGATTTCACCACTGAAATTATGTGTTTCTACGTTCGAATCATATAAGAAGAGCACTTGAACCGTATATAGGCAAAAGTATTAGAAAAATAGAACGCTGCCCTGCGGGATTCTAGCATACACATCTAACTCTTTTCTGGTTGTATCTTTGAATTTTACCTTGTATTTACGTGTAGTTAGGTATGAAATCAATAGGTTATGAAAAGGAGTTGGTAAAGTTTGTCTTATCTTAAAGATTAGACCATCGTGCCATACTTTGTCAAAGGCCTGTGCAATGTTGAGATGTAGGGCTGAGCAGTATTTTCTTTCTCCAAACACCTTTCTAATTTCGTTTGCCACTCCCTGAACTTGCTCAGTTGTGCTGTGTTTATGACGGAAACCAAAAGTAAGCTAATTGGTCTGTAGGAGGTTATTTTTGTCACATCCTTGCCAGGTTTTGGGATCATTGAGATTTGAGACGTTTTCCAAGCGAAAGGAAAATATCGGACTCTAAACATTGTGTTGCATAAAAAAGAAAACATTCTTATAGCAATATCCGGAACCGGAGATATCATTTCATTGGTTATAAGATCATGACCAGGAGCTTTCTTTATTTGAAGTTTGCCAATAGTTTTCTGGACATCATCAGAATTCGGAACAGTTTCCGCATTTCTAATGTTGGCATTAAATTCTAAATGACCCATTGGTGATACTCATAGGTTGGGTATAAAAGCCGTTTGCAGGTGTTTAGCAAAAGCTAAAGCTTTTTCCTCGTTACTCCCTGCCCATTTTTCATTACCCAGCTTTAGGGGTGGTTCAGTTTTCTTTGGGCATTTTAACCACTTAGTGGCTTTCCATAATGACAGTTTATCTTTTCCGGAAGGGAAGAGGTTTTCCGTAAATTTCTGTATATTTTCGTCCAGTTCTTTATCTAAAGTTTATTTTTATAGCTTAGCTGCAAGAGAAAACGTTTGCTTTGCAGAACGCGATCTAGTTCGTTGCCATTCTCTTCGTAGACGATGTTTTTCTTTTAAAAATGTTTCAATTACAGCGGATGTCCTTTTTGGAGCATTTAGGTCGGGTTCATGCATGTTGGGTGTTTCGTGCTTTTAAAAAATTTGATAAATTGCGTGTTAGTTACATTAAACCTGGGTGGGCAGTAAATTGACGATATCATTATATCTTCATTTAAGGCAAATGGACGTGGCCTGCAAATAATCATTAGCGAATTCTTCAATTGCGTAGTGTTTTAGACGATTTTTGATTAAAACTGCTGTACCTCGACGAACCTTACCGTCCGGGTCATAAGTGTGATAAAATTTATATTCAGGTATAGAGAAGTGATTTTTATTTGTTAAATGAGTCTCGAATAAGAGTAAGATGTCTATTTGATTTATGTTTAGGAATAATTAGATTTCGCGCTTTCTTTGACTTACGCCATTGCAGTTCCATTGAGATATTTTTATCGAATTCATTTTGAAACCATAGAGTTTAGTAGTTGCTGCTGAGTTTTAAGTAGTTCATGGAACATCGATTGCATTGAAATCATGAGCTGATTCAAATGAATCAGGCATTGACCACATATACAACAGCATCACTACTATTTGTGAAACAGAGTTTTCTAATTGAGCAATCACCGTCTGTAGAGTAGGGTTCACCGATTGAAAGTGGAAATATTTATTTTTTAAGTAGAATTTATTTATTAATCTGAATCAAAAGTAAAAAAAAAAATTTGTGTGACATATTCCTTTTATTTTACTGAAAAATCGTGTGTATGTGTTTGGTCTGATATGAAGGATAAAAAATTTTTTAAAAGTACTTCTAATTACAATATCGTCCAAAAATGTTTGAGTTTTATATAGAATTTTATTACTAATCGAAATCAATAATATTATATAAGAATATTTGTAGCATATTCTTTGAAAATTCATTCAATGGAAATGTAGTACGCGCGTGCTTGATGTGTTTTACGGGAGAAAAAAAAATATTAAAAAATTTCAAAAAAGATGGTATCTCGAAAATTTTTATTTCGTAGTAAAACTTAAAAGTGAATCTAAATAAAATACAAAAAATTAAAATTTAGCTAATTGTTTTGAGAAAAATTTTTTTTTGAAATTTAACGGCTAATGTTAGTACTTAAATATAAACAATTTTAATAGTTTAAACAATTTCATAAAATATCAATCAATTATCTTTTAAACGCTGTAAATTTCATTTACATGAATAAAAGTTTCAATCTTCTATAGAACTTGAGATATACCCATTTGAAAATGTGTCTACAATGTCAATTCTCAAAACCCCATAGGTACATATCTCCTAGAAAAAAATCACAAAATTTTTTCCCGAGATACGGGTCTTTTTATTTTATAAAAGGAGCTCATAAAAAAAATTTCAGACAAATCAGAGATCATGAGGTCAAAAAGGTGTTCGAGTTGTAAAAGAATGACCCATATGCATTAGCAACAGCAAAAATCGCAATTAATTAGAGTATGCTTTAATTTTATCTGTAATTAGAGTATGCCTAAATTTATGTTTTTTTAAATGATTTCATTTATGATTTAATAATTATAATTATAATAACATAAATGAGTAGTAATATGCATATTTAGTTTTGCATGTTGTTTGATTTTTCCCTGTTATATACATATTGTAATGTATATGCGATAGTTATATTGGCAATGCATATTATTAATATAATAATAAGTGGTTCTATATTTGAATGCGCAGTGTATATACAAATACACTAATTGTTTCCAAGCGCATTGCATTGTTTACAAACAAATGCATAATTCCACACAAGGAATTTGACACCACACATATCGGCGGCACTTTGCCTTCGATATAACCATGTGCTTGCCAGGCATTGACCACATATACAACAGCATCAACAGTAAGCGTACTTGAGACAAGTGAAATCGAAGACGCTTACTTAGCAATGAATTATTAAATAGAAAAGTACAATACTTACGCTGCGCCGTTTTGTACTTAAATAAAAATGCATATAAAATATTAAAAAAAATAATACCAAAATATATATATAAATATAAAATATTTAGTAAATAAGAAAGTACATACACTGCGTCGTTATGTACCTAGGTTAAGTCGAAAGTAAAGATTCAAATAAAAATCAGAACTAGAAATGCATTCATAAGAAGCGCACCAAGTTCTCCAACAATATAATCGTTGCTTTTATTTTATTTTTAAAATAGCAATCTTTAATGAAATGAGAAACGCCAATTAATATAGGCGATTTTAACAATCAGTATTTTGCAACAATTACATGGCGACCGTGACTTTGGGT